TTATCCAGCGCACTTTTCACAGACTGGTGTAGACAGGTGGGGGAGGTGAGTGTTACTAGAACGTTCAGTGACACTCAAAATTTGTTGTTTGTTTGTATGTTTGCGTTTTCTGTTTTTGTCTGAGTCAGAGTCTCACATTACTACACAGGCTGGAGTGCAGTGGCAGGATCATGGCTCACCACAGCCTTGACCTCCTGGGCTCAGGCAATTCTTCCTCCTCAGCCTCCAGAGTAGCTGGAACCACAAGTACATGCCACCAAGCCCAGTTAATTTCTTTTCTTTTTTTTGGTAGAGACGAGGTCTTGCTTTGTTGCTCAGGCTAGTCTTGAACGCCTGGGCTCAAGCAATCCTTCTGTCTCAGCCTCCCAAAGTGTTAGGATTATAGGCATGAGCCACTGTGCCTGGCCTTTTTTCTGTTGAGAAGGAGGCACAGAGCAAACTTAAAGACCAACACTTACAGAGTTTGTGCCCCAAATCAGCAATCTCACAGAGGGAAGGTATGTGATGTCTTTTTTAAGGCCCTTTTTATTTTGAAATAATTTTAGACTCACAAGAAGTTACCAGAGTAGTAGGGTGAGTTCCTGTGTCTCCTCCCCAGCTTCTCACAATGATAGCATCTCACATGGAAGACAATAGTGTGATGCCTTTTTAATGTCTTTCTTTGCCTGTCAGAGAAAGGTTTTACTGACCTGACCTGAACCCCAATAAGAATACATTTTTATGATAGCAACAACATTTATATGGGACCTACTAAATGCCAAGAGGAACCCTGGCTGAGTACTCTTAGATGCCACAACAGCCCAGTGAGGTACCAAAGTAACCATCCCTGCCTCCTTTTTATAGATGAGTGAACTGGGCTTCACAGGTCCACAGTCAAGATCCTATGGCAGAGTCAAGATTCATGGCCCAGCTCTTCACCGGTGTACCGTGCTGTTCCCCTCTGGGGCTCAGATGGGTACTGGGAGGTCAGTTTCAGCACAAGGCTGATACTTAACTCATTACTGCAGGGTAAGGGAAGTCTTCTCTAGCCGTCAGACCTCGTGGGGCAGCTGCGACTGGCAGACAGGCTGGGATGTTGAGATGCGAATTCGTTCCCTCCTGTTTCCTTTCTGGGATCCTTAGTCCCTGGATCCAGTGCGGCAGGGTGAGTTTGCAGATGAAGATATCTCATGGCTCTCATACTGACCGCCAGGCGTATGAGACAGAGCTTGCTGGCAGGTGGCCAGTCTGGGCTGGGGCAGAGCTGGAGTGTTCAGGCTGACATGCCAGAGGCCCTTTCACAGGTCTGTCCCAAATCCCACCCTTGGTGATCATCCTGTAGGATGGATCCTTCCTTCAGGAGGCTCGATTCCAAATCAAATCGCGGTGTGTCACATATCATGACTGCCAGCCCGTTCTTTAAATATCCACGTGGCTTCTGTGAGAGCGGTGGAAAAGAAAGGCACGGGGAAGAGAAAGGTCACCTCGGTCTCGGTCCTTCCGTTTGGTGCCGGGTATGACAGACACCAAGGGCACTTCAGCCCAAACGACCTCCGTCAGTTGATCTCTTGCATTCCATGTCTTCCAGCCAAGGCAATAATAAGTGCTGGAGTGTCATGCCTGAGACGATGACCACTTCTGCGCTTACAGAACGCTTTCGCATTATGTGAGCCTCGTCACATACTCACCGGTGAGGAAACTGAGCTCCAGGGAGGGTCAGCACCTTGTCCAAGGTTCTCCACTTAGACCTGACCAAGGTGGGGGCCTGCATCTCAGAGAGGCACCAGAAGGCAGCAAGGACTTTGGTGTCCTGTCGACCTGAGTCCCTGCCTCAACTCTGCCACTAACCAGCTCTGGTTTTCTCCAGGCCTCACTTTCTTCAGCTTTTAAATGGGCACAATCACCACACTTGCCCCTCTCTGGGTTCTTACAAGGGCAGAGGACATGATGCATAGGAAGAGCTTGGCAGAGCACCTGGCACAGAGGATAATCAGAAGTGTTAGCTGTTAGTGCTAGAATCATTCTCCAGTCATTGGAAATGAATCTGGTTACAGCTCATGCAACAGTAAAGCAATGTTGAATTAAACAAATTGTAGCTATTTTTCACACACAGGAGTCAGAAGGCAGATAGTCCCAGGCTGGCCAGGAGCTGAATGATGCTGTCAAATACCATTCGCCTTCTTACATCCCATTCTACTTTCTGTAGTATCTTGGTTTGCTGCCTCATGGTTCCAAGGTGGCTACTGCAGCTCCATCCACCATCCACATCTGGGGGAAAGAGGTACAGTAGCAGCCATATTTTCCCCTTTTGTAAGGAAAGCAAAAGCTTCCCCAGAACCCACCACCAGTCCCAGAAGACACCTGCTGTTGTCTCTCTGGCCTGGACTAAGTCCCCTGGCTACCCATAGCTGCAAGGGACCCTTGGAAAATGAGTACATAGCTCTTTAAAGTTCATCGTGCAGGTGACAAGGAGGGAGGTAGATGAGAATGGGAATAGATTGAGCCAGTTGGATTTGCCTTAGCCCACCCTACCTCTTACATTGTTGTTTAAAAAAATATTTCATTGGTCCTCAGGTGAGTAGGGCTTAGTTAATCCTATTCACATGTTCATGACACATGAGCAACAAAGTCTCTTTTCTGGACTAACTCCCTTTTATTCTCACAAACTGTTCTGTTTCGTGTACGTCTTTTCTGAACTTTTTAATTGAAATAAACATACACAAATCATTACTAGTGGCTCGAAGGATTTTCTCTGTTTATCCTCATGAAAGCACATTCTGATCAATATATAGAACATTCCCAGCATCTCAGAAACCTTCCTGTTTTCCCTCTTTCTGTCAATACTCCCTCCCAAAGGTCACCGTTATTCTGATCTCCATCGCCCTGCGTCCATTTTGCCCACTCTTGGATTTCACCGAAATGGATTATACATTTGTGCGTGTTCCTGACGGCATGTGGCAGTGGCTCGTCTCCTGCCACTCCTGTACCTTGTCTCTCGTACACAGACCAGGATGAGTGGCCTTGTGAAAACCAGAGTGGCACAGATATGGAAGGTTGCCGTCTTCACCGGTGGAGTGTCTTTTCCTGCGAAGAATCACCTGCTTTGCAGAGCTCGCCTGGCACTGCTCTCTCCGGCACTGAGTCTACTTAGAAAGGAATCTCTTGGGGACTTGTGTGTGGGCTTTGGATGCTGTCAGCATAAAAGAATTTCCTTGAGCACTTCTTCATTTGGAGCTGGTAGAAGAGGAGAGTAAGAGAGGATGCTTGTGAGAGGGACATTTTTAGGCAAAGGAGAAAACAGCAGCTGAAGGTGTCATTAGGAGCTGGAACCTGGAGGCCAGGCTTCTGAGCAGAGATTTAAATCATCCTTCCATGCTCTTCGCCTTCCAGGAGCCTCAGTTTAGGGCTCAAAGGCGTAAGAGACTCACTGCAGCTCTGTTTCTCTCGGGGCTGGGCAACCCTTTTGAGTTCAGACTGATTCTTGGGAAGTCTTCTCCCCCTGGCCTGTGGGTGATGGGCTTGCCTCGTCCAAGCTAGTGTGGCTTTCTCATGAAAACATATCACTCCAGGACAAACTTGAGAGCAGACGAAGAAAGTTTATTTTTTTCAAAGGAATCTTAAATGAGAATGAAGTAGAATAGTGATTCTCATAAGTGTGGTCATGTAGGCAAGTTAGGCATCAAGAAGAAAAATAGAAACTCTGCAGTTGGCTCTATGATGGGTTGTCATCTTCCTTCCCTGAGGTGTCTGCTGATTCTATACCTTGTGGCTGTGGGGATAATGTGCTGGGATATTCAGCTAAGACTTAATCAGGGACCCTGCATGCTAGAATAGCATACTTATAAAGTTCATCGAGTCATTTCTATATCCCTAGTCCCTACTAGGGACTTCGTTATGTATCATTTCAGTTATTCTTGACAGGACCTGAGAAGGTAGGTCGGATTATTACCATTTTACGAGTGAGCAAATGGAGTGTTGGAGAATTTAAGTAACCTGCCAGTAAGTGGCAGGTAATAAGAAATAAGACTGATATTCAAAACTAAGTCTCAGATTCCAAAGGCTGTGTACCTTCTTCAACACCACATGGCCTTTATAAAATCAGTCCCTGCCTTTCTGATGTGCTAGCCCTCTTCTTGACTTCCCCATCTCAGTGTTTGTCCAATAAGTGCCTGGTTTTAGCACAACTGAAAACTGCAAATGCCGTGTCATTTATTTTGATTTTAGGGAGTCATTGAAACTTCACTGTGCCACAGTACACAACTCTTTACTAGATAGCTCAAAGATCTGTTTATATTTTATTAAGGAATTTTTAATATTTGAAACCATAGAGCATGGTGGGAAAGACCCTGATGGATAATAGAGACTGGAAACTAGTTTCAGTCCTAGTGTCACCATAAATCAAAACGAGCCATAGGCCTTGAGTGTAGACCTAACTTCTCTGTGCCTCAGTTTCCCTCACTTGAGAAATGAAGAGATTGAAGTATGTGACTACTAATGTCCCCATTTGTTCCATAAACATGAGCTTTTGTGGCTGTTTTGTTTTTGTTTTTGTGATTCTAAAATGCTTTCAGAGTAGCCTTAATTATCAAATGCAAATTCAGAGAAGTGGATAACATGGAGGCTTTCAAAAAGTTTTGAAAAAGAAATTAGTTCTTTACTCTTTCAAATAAAGCTACATTTTCCATTGCATCTCCTAGTCCACCATTTATACCAAAAAAGATATGGTTCTTCAATAATTCATATTGGAGCCTAGATTCCTTGAGGGTCTGGCAGGCTTTAATTTTGGATAAGATGATGTAAAATATTGCCAATGACCAACCCCAGGTTCCCAACCCAAATATAAATCCCTCCTTGTTCAGCACATGAATATACAGTGTAAACTGCTTTAAATTATAGCTGGTATTATTAAATAGAATTAAGATGCTATTGAGCAATTCTGAAAATAAGAAATAAGATGATATCATGTTCTAGTTAGTTAAGAATATGCGATACTTAAAGAAATTATTATTACGCCATTTTAGACCCAGTAAAGAAAAAACAGGCCACGTGAGTGACTCAGGAGCGTCTGTCATCAAACACGGACTCAACCCAGAGAAGATTTTCATGCAGGTGCATTATATAAAGGTAAGTGCATCGATGGTAGAAGCTGGTTATGATGGTGCATTTTCTTAGGTTGTACGGTCACACAATGAAGATTAGTAACACGACTGAGGCAAAACTAAACAGCCATCTGACTGGGCAGATATCTTAAGTGTCCAATAGTTAAAACCCTTCATATCCACAAAGGGTGACTGTTAGGAAAGCATGAGTCCAAGGCCTTGAAACACTCCCTGCTATGGACCTCCTGTCTTCCTGCCTCCTGTGAGCTTTGAGGAACAGAACCTTCATGTTGCTGCCAGGCTCCAGCTGGAAGACAGGAGGAAGAAGGAAGTCTTTGAAGTGGTGAAGGCCTTTCCTGGTGGCTGAAGCAGGGAGGAGCTGGGCCTTTTCCCTGTTAGTCCATGATGGCCATCCAGGCTTCAGGTGCGCCACGTCATACCAGAGATGGTGGTAAAATTAGCAAAAGAGTTGAAAATGAAATAATTTGCAGGCCCAGACTTCCTGGTCAGAATATGAAGGGCAGCCTGGGACAGGTAAGACAGTACTGTCTAGGTGTGCAGGTATACTAGTGGGTTAGTTAGGGTTGACTGCATAAGCATTTTTGTGACGAACCCATGACAGCCATCTTTGTTTTCTGTGTCTCTCCTTCCTTTCTTCTAGGGCTACTTCCTTCTTCGATTCCTTGCCGAAAGACTTGGAGAGGAAACCTATTTTTCATTTTTAAGAAAATTTGTGCACACATTTCATGGGCAGCTGATACTTTCCCAGGTAATCTATGGGTCCTCATAAGTCTGTGATACACAATGGGAGGGGGTATGACACGTGAGCATCAGATTGTGCCAGTATGAAAGAGCAGAGGAAAGATTTGCAATTTCATGTAGTTGGGAAAATAAGAAGTTAATAAGATGGACACCGGGAAGTGTTCTTTCAGGGAGGGTGATCTCCCTATGGTGTTGGAGAAGCTGTAATCCAAAGCTGCCTTGTACACAGTGATGAGGATAGCTTCAATGACCCTGAAAACAAAAACAGAACGCTTCTGTGGTTCCCTGCATCTGGACTTACATTGGCAAGGTTGTCTCCTTCTTACCCTTTAGTCTCGACTTCAATGCCACAGCCTCAGGGTCATCCCAGTTGAACAGATGTGCACCCAGACTCTGGTGCTCCACCTCCTGGACCTTTCCAATGCTGTCATTGTCGTTGCCATTATCTAGAATTTCATCTTCATTTGTGGGGTGTTTTCTTTCTCTCTCCTTCACTCTATGTATAAGCTCAACAAGGCCATCCTGTGCCTTATTTCATCAGTGCTTAGGACATGATTGGCACACAGTAGGCATACCATAAGTAGTTGATAAATAGGTTACTAACAAGATACACTGAAATATGCAGACAGCCCAGCCACAGACCTCTCAGAAAGGTACCGTGTCAGCTCGTACGGTTGTGAAGTCAAGCAGCACACAGCATGGAAGTTAGCAGAGTGAGAGGCTCTGAAAATGGTGCTCAAAACTGAGAGAGAATAAATAATGCGTTCTTTTCATGAATTGGACTTTTTTTTTTTTTTTTGGAGTTGGAGTCTCACTCCGTCGCCCAGACTGGAGTACAGTGGCCGCTCCCGGCCACCGCAGCCTCAACCCGCTGGGCTCCGGCGATCCTTCCGCCTCAGCCTTCCGAGTCGCTGGAACTACAAGTGCGCGCTACTACGCCCAGCTAATTTTTTGATTTATTGTAGAGATGAGGTCTCGCCAAGGTCAGGCAATCCATTCACCTCGGCCTCCCAAAGCGCGGGATTACAGGCTGAGCCACCGAGCCCGGCTATGAATTGGATATTTTTTATTTTTGATGTGTAATGATTGTACTCATATACAGTTGTGAGTCACATTATCTACATGATAGATATGAAGGTTGTGTATGTATGATCTGAACATATGGCGAGAATAACTTGAGTGTAACAAGACTAGGCGGTGATCCCTTGCTTCCACACTCTTATTCTTTTTGTGTAGGGGGCAGGGGGAGTTCATCCTAAGCATGTTGTTGGAAAGCAGTTTGAAAACTCGTTTAGATATTTATATTTGTATTCTTGGTTGACTGGTTCGTCCAAATTCCTATGGCTTGAAAACACTTTCCCCAAGATGCTGCGGTATGGAGCGAGTGCCCAGTGTTCGCTGTGATTCCTGCTTCCCATGAAGCTCTTCCTGCTCCCTCGGCCAGACCATTCAGTTCTCCTTTCGCTGATCTCTTTTGAAGAATGCCTTTATTGTTTTTCGTGTTAACTTTATTGAGATAAAATCCACATACCATTGCATTTACCCTTTAAAAGCGTACCAGTCATTTGTTTATAGTGTATTCACAAGGTTGTTCAACTATCACCGTTGTCTAATTTTAGAACATTTGGATCCAACCTAAGCAGTAACTGTCTCCCCCCACCCCCCCGCCCTAGGCTACAGCTAATCTACTTTCTGTCTCTATGGATTGGCCTATTCTGGACATTTCATATACATGAGTCACATAATATGAGACCTCTTATTGTTGTCTGACTTTTTTTCACTTAACATAATGTTTTCAAGATTCATGTAGTATATACCAGTACTCATTCCTCTTTAATTTTTATTTATGTTTAATTGTGATTGAGATATACATAGCATGAAATTTACCATTTTAGCCATTTTTAAGTGTGGTGTTCAGAACAGTCACTATTTTTTTGTGTGTGTGTCGGACTCTCACTCTGTCACCCAGACTGGAGTGCAGTGGCCGCTCCCGGCCACCGCAGCCTCGACCTGCTGGACTCTGGCGATCCTTCCTCCTCAGCCTTCCAAGTAGCTGGAATTACAGGCGTGCGCTACCACACCCAGCTAATTTTTGATTTATTGTAGAGATGAAGTCTCGTCAAGTTGCCCAGGAAGGTCTTGAACCTGCGGGCTCAGGGAATTCACCCACCTCGGCCTCCCAAAGTGCTGGGATTACAGGCTGAGCCACCGAGCCCGGACTATTTTTTTTTTTTTACAACTATCATTAGAACATATCCATCTCCAGAACAATTTCATTTTTCCAAACTGTAACTGTGAACACATTAAACAATATATCCCCATTCTTCCCTACCACTATTCCTGGGCAAACCCCATTCTACTTTCTGTGTCTATGAATATGACTACTCTAGGTACCTCATATAAACAGAACCATACAATATTTGTCCTTTTTTTATTTATTGTAGAGATGAGGTCTCGCTAAGTTACCTAGGCGGGTCTCGAACCCGCGGGCTCAGGCAATTCACTCACCTCAGCCTCCCAAGGCGCGGGATTACAGGCTGAGCCACCGAACCCGACTCCACTTCATTTTTTTATATGTGAATATTCAGTTGTCTCGTAACCAAGTGTTGAAAAGACTATTCCTTCCTGTTTTTGAATTGTCTTGGTACCCTTGCCAAAAATAAATTGACCATTGATGTAAGGATTTATTTCTGAACTTTCGATTATATTCCATTGATCACTTATGCCAGTACTACCCTAATGCCAGTACCATACTGTCTTGTTTACTGTAGCTTTGTGTTAAGTTTGAAAATCATTGCTCTTTCAACTGGTACATATTCATTATTTAAGCAATGCAGGAAAGTACAAAGAGGAATACAAAACATTATTCAAAATCCCGCCACTTAGAAATACCTGTAATTAATATTACATGAATATCATTCCAGAAATCACACTTTCTATTTCTCTCTTTGTTATACATGATGTGTATACAAGTATCTGTGTGTGTATGTGTATATGGTATATGTGTGTGCATACATGTACAGATAGATGTCACTAGACAGAAATAATATTATAAAAATAGTATATGTTTTTTAATCAAACATTATACATTTTATTTTACTTGAATTTAAGAAATTAAAGGGAAGATGGAAGAACTTTCTGAACTTAAGGAAAATGTAAGAGAACTCATTTTCTAAAAGATTCTTCTATGATTAAGAAACATTATGAGTCATGCTCCATGGTTCAGCCTGTAATCCCTCGCTTTTGGGAGGCTGAGGTGAGTGGATTGCCTGAGCCCGCGGCTTCGAGACCTGCCTGGGCAGTGAGACCTCATCTCTGCAATAAATCAAAAAATCAGCCAGGTGTGGTAGCGCGCGCCTGGTAGTTCAGGCTACTTGGAAGGCTGAGGCGGGAGGATTGCCGGAGCCCAGCAGGTCGAGGCTGTGGTGGCCGGGAGCATGCCCCTGCACTCCAGTCTGGGCGACAGAGTGAGATTCCAACTCAAAAAAAGAAAAAAGGAAATATTATTATAAAAAAATAAGAAGTTGACATTTTTTTTCTCTTTACCTATATATTTTGTTTTTAGAAAGCATAAGTTTATTAACGACTATAAAATATGAGGGAGGAATTCACACTTCTACTACTTTCCCCTAATTCTAAGTTTTCCTTAATTATTAATTTTATTTATTAAGGTTTATTTCATTACAGTATGTACTGTAACTATAGTTTTCACAGTTGTATAGTCTTAGCTTAGTATTTATTGGATTTCGGTATTCACCACCAGTTATTTTACCATGCGTATATGTTCATGAATGTGTGTGTTTTATTTTATTTTATTTTATTTTATTTTATTTATTTATTTATTTATTTTTTTGAGTTGGAGTCTCACTCTGTCGCCCAGACTGGAGTGCAGTGGCAGCTCCCGGCCACCGCAGCCTCAACCTGCTGGGCTCCGGCGATCCTTTCACCTCAGCCTTCCAAGTAGCCGGAATTACAGGCATGCGCTACCACGCCCGGCTGATTTTTTTGATTTATTGTAGGGATGAGGTCTTGCTGCCCAGGCGGGTCTCGAACCCGCGGGCTCAGGCAATCCACTCACCTCAGCCTCCCAAAGGCGCGGGATTATAGGCTGAGCCACTGAGCCCGGCAGTGTATTTTATTTTTATTCAACTCTTTGTTGACTGAATTTCATTATCAAATTGATTTTCAAGTTGCAGACTCACAGATTCTGTGATTTCTGAGTTCTTACTGCCTAGAATACTTATTTGTTGTCTTTATATTTGAATTATAAATTTGCTGGGTATAATAAATAGTCTTGGGTCACATTTTCATTCCCTCAGAACTTTATAGACATTGCTCAACTGCCTTCTACCATAAATCCTGCTGTGGAAATGTTTGAAGTCAGTCTACTTTTCTACCTTTATACTGCTTAGGCGACAGAAGAATATTTTCTTTATCTTTGAAACTTAATACTTTAATCAGAAAATTACTTGGTGTCTATGATCGTGGATCAGTTATTTTCCCTGGAAAATAATATGCATTTTTATTTTTAGTCTTCTTTCAGTGAGATTATCTTAAATTGTATCTTTGAACACATTTTTCCCCTCTTGCAGGGTTCTGAATTTCAAGATTACCAGTTATCCTTGTGTTATATCATCTTTGTCCTCTATACCTGTTATTTTCTAATGGCTTTTATCTTTTTCTTCTTTGTAACCTGTGCTTATCTCAAGCAACTCCTTTATTATTGCTGTTATTTTCCTTAACGTCTGTTCTTTTCCTTACTGTTTCTATTTTATTGATGCTTCTATACTGGTATTATCTTGGTCCTTAATTTATTTCCTTTGCATTGAAATCTCTGTCTTCCTCTCATGTTGTTTTTCATTTTGTCTTTGAGCTTTCATTTTACTGAATTTATGATCTTTTTATTGTTAACTTATTTTGTAGTGTGAAGCATTCAGAAAGAATTTTCTTCTACTCCTTGGATTATGCTTTCTTCAAGTCTAGATTCCTTGTCTTTTAGATGTTATG